GGCTCCCGAGGCTGCGGCCCCGCCCGCCCGACGCAGACCCGTTGCCAGGCGCCCCGAGCTTCCGGCGGCCCATCGCGCTGTCGCGGTCATGGTCCCTCCCGGAGAGCCAAGTTAGGGGGCCGCGCAAGCATCGTGGCGACGCCCCGCCGCACCCCCGACTAATTCAGCGAGAACTCCATGTGCCGCCGCCCTCAGGGTCACGGGTGCAGGGGGCAGGCTGGGAGGAGGGTGCTGAGACAAGGCTGGTGAACAGGGGCCAGAGGTGACGCACGGCCAGTGGGGCAGGAAGGGTACGCCATGCACTTTAGGGTGGTAGTGGGTAGCGGGACTAGACGCGACACGCAGGTCTCTGGGTTGTGTTTTTAAGATTCAAACTAAGCAGATCTCCAGAGTACTGGTGAGTCTGGACCTTTCAAACAGCCCAGCAATACCTGACCAGTCCAGTCTTAGGGAAGTGACAGTCATCCCGCAATCCCCTCCCCATGCTCGCCGGAATTCCGCGTTCCATGCCCCCTTTGTCCAGGTTCTCTGGGGGGAGAGGCTCCCGGTGTGTCCCCCCCAGCTGGGAAACCGCGTTCTGGGACTTACACAGCGGTCTCTCAGCATCCACACTCCTGCCCAATGACGTTCCAAACGCGCGGCCTTCACTTCTCCCCCCCGCACTAGGGCTGCAAGTTTAGCCCTGGTTACATGGTTGCAGATCCCACGAACCTAGAGCTGCCCTCAAGCTGACCACTTCTGTTTTCATTAAGTTTGATACTAGCCTTTCCTAGCTCCTCTGGTTAAGAAAACCAACTCAGATTAGACTTGAAACCTAATACTAGCCCTAGCAGGTACTGAGTAGTAGGGAGCTGGGGGAAAAAATTAGCTATTAATCTAAAAAACAGGGTAGTGGTACACTTACCTGAATGAAAAGGCTGCACATTTAAACCCACATGGAAAACTTAAAAGGGAAAAGCCTGGGGACCATCCTAAAACCAATTAAGAATTCAGTTCTGGGGCTGCAGTCAAAGTGGAGAAGCACTGACCGAGGATTGTGTGGACTAAGTGTACTCAGTGCGTGGTCAAACGTTTAAAGGGTCTACTTCTGATTCTTGCGGTCACATCCCCACTGACAGCTCTTTCCCAGTTCTAGGCCTGGGTTCCTGCTGTCGCCCAGATGTCCAAATTACCCTCCTCTGTGAAAATGCCTCACAGCAGGAACCATCTCCTGGACTCCCCCAACACACTGACATTTCCAGCTCTCTTCTAGTGAATAAAGTGGGGTAGCTGGTTTGCCTTCACAAGATCGTAAAGGCTAAAAATGGGTATGAAAATATTTTGTCAATGTTAAACTATTTAAATGCAGGTTAATACCTTTTCTATTGAAAGCCCACCTCCTAGAAATCCTTTGCACAAGGGACCTTCCGCTGGAAGGTTAACCAACTGTTCTGAAGTCTGGGTCACTCAGGTTGTACTACAAAGTCACCTCACATAGGTACATTTCCATTTTACGCTTCAAAGTGCCAGCTTTGTCAGGTCGCCCCCCGCCCCCCACCCCACCTGACAGCATGCTTTTTTCTATTTATCCCCACTCTGACACTAAGTTCCTTACTCAGGAATCAGGTGCCTGAGAAGTCCCTATGTCAACCTTAGACTCTGCAACCCCTCCCTACTCTCAAGCTCTCATACTTGTCGTCATCCTCTGGTTCTCTGGCCCCCCAGGGAAGAGTTGAATTTCCAGGACTGAAAACAGGAATGTGTCTGCAAAAGATAGAACGAATACTGTCCGTTTCCTTGTCTTAGATATTCCTGCACAATTTCTTATCCGTCACCAGCTTCAAAAGCTGTGCTACTTTGGGTGATGATGCATCAATGTTCTTTGATCCCAATCATCACTGACTAGACAGTGAGGGAGACTGCGGGTTCTTGGGCACAGAGGCACGTGGGAAATCTCGTCTGGTGGTTTCCCCCTTTCCCCGGTTTGGCTTCCCTCGATTTCAGTTACCCACCCAGGTCAACCAGTCCAACAACACCGCACATGACAATCCCAGAAATACATATTCATGTTTTCAGTTGCACAGCATTCTGAGTGGCGTAATGAAATCCCACGTCCCACCTGGGAGGTGACAATCCCTTTGTCCGGGGTCTCCACCTGTATGCTCTCCCCTCCAATTAGTCGCTTAGCCTTCTTGGGCCTGGTATTGCAGTGCTTGTGTTCAAATGACATTTTTAATGCCACATTCACGTAATTTATTACACTATTGTTATTACTGTTGTTAATCTCTTGCTGCACTTGAATTATAAACTTTA